TGCCCGTCCGACATCTCGCTCCCTCGCGATAGAGGTTCGACCCAGCACTTGGTTCGCCCACGGAAGGAGAAAAAGCCCCTGCAGAGACCAAATGCTGCTCACTTTCTCTCCAGTTCCGTACGACCCGTTCGTTGACCAGCCGTAGCGACCCCTTATTACGTAGGAAGTCACAGGAAGCTTTCTTCCTGGAGCAGCAGCAGCAGCGCTCTCTCCGTCCGGGTCGTGTCCGTCGTCACTGTGCTCGTTTTCGTCATCGCCTTCCCCGACTTACTGACCGACCGACCGGACGGCCATCCTGCTTCATCTTCGTATTAGCGTGCGATGTTGGAACGAACAGACGAACGAGCGAACGGGGGACGATAGCGAGCGGCGTTGATTACAGTCAGTTCGTCTGTTTGCGCGTCCCACCGGCCTGTCAAGATTCGGGTGCGAAATTCTGTCGCAGCCAGCATCCTGGACTACCGATAGCGGCAGGCAAGCCCACCAGCCGACTCGCGACGCCGACGTAAGCCCGGCTGTCTAGGACCATCGTGGAAATAGACCGTGCCGAGTCGTCTCAGATTGTTGAGCGAAGGAAAACAGCCGTACCCATATGTGATTTGTCGTTTTCCGCGGAGAGCACACGGCGCAGCGATCGGGTTCCGTCGATTCCGGGCCGAGTTCTGGGTTCGAATGGAACTCGCTGTATGACCTTGTCGAGAGAATGCCATGTCGCCTCGATTCTCATTCAATCGATCGATGCAGGCATACAACTCACATAAGGAACTCGCCAGCAACTCGTTCGACTCATCTGCATATACGGCTCAAATGAAGCTAATGAAGCCCGAACACCCACATGAACACGGCGCCTTTACCTATTCGAATGCGGGCTTTCCGTCAGAAACAGTGCATGGCGATGCTCGCTTCGATATGCACCCCGGACCCATCAGCAGCGTTCCCGTCTCGGGAGGAAAAATTTTCCCTCAGAATATTGTTTGTGGGACATCGTGTTTCCAAGATTATCCCTAAGGAAGTTCGATAAGGCCACTCGCGCTGTTCACCGGGACAAGCGACCGATTCTCCGGTCGCCGATCGACCCAGGACACCCTCGCCCAGTCATCAGACGAGCTTGACGATTGCCACATCTTTCTTCCCTCTTCTTCGTGTCATCGAGCTCTGGATGTCGAGTACCCTACCCAAACGGAGGATCGATCGATCAGGTGATTGGAGGTTCGTTTTGTCTCCTCCGCGCGCCCCGTCCAACTGTTCGAAGTGGTCGGATACAAGGACGAGGACAAGGGATCCCCATAGACGTATAAGCATCATCTGGACACGGAACGTCCATGGGACTCCGTTCCTCGTGCTGAAATCTCCTCCGTGGTCTGCCTCCCTCACGGATTCCCCACCCCAGGCCACTTCCGACATGTCTTGAGTGGGATCTCTCGAACTCGGAATCGTTCTAGTCGGACTCATATCTCGCTGGATGAGGAAGGTGGAATAAGCTTAGTAGACCGCCTGGAGGAAGGAAGTGATCCCGCGTCGTGTTTGCCGAGACTCGTGTCCATATTATGCACGGGAATCGTCGGGGTCGCTGTTTCGTCAACGCCGCCACAGCAGCCGCACGAGCGGCACCTGGAACTACCTCGTCGGCAGAAGTCGAGAACGCTGTTTTTTGTTTGCCGACTCCTCGGCGGGAAAAGAAACACCTCGTCACATAAGACATGTAGCTCCGCCGTTTCTCGCTTATTCCTGCTCGAGGTTTGCCCCTGCGCCCCCTCCCACGTACGTCGCGGTCGTCGTCGTCGTTGCATTTCCGGCGTTGCATATGAATGTGACCTGCCATGAATATAGATAATATATACCACAAACGAATTATCATCACGAGGTGCGTGGGCCGTGGTGGGAGTGGTGAGTCTATGACGATTGTCTACCCGTATGAGATTACAGTTTTTGAAAAAAACATCATCGTGGGAGTCGAAAGACCGGTCCGCGAATGATAGTCCCGCCTCGCTCCCGGAATGAAAACATCTCGCGAATCGATATAAAAGATTCGCGGAAGAAAAGACGCCTGTTTCCTCAATTTACGTCGAGAAATGAGCCGATCCAACCCGTTGGCGTCGAGGGCTCAATCTCGCTCTCCGAAAGCTATCGGGAAACACCATTGGAGATCGGTCACGATGCTCATCAACTCGTCAATCACAGATCGCTTTTTTCCGAGACGAATTCCACCCCGCGTTCTGACTATGGTTTTTTCGCTCGCCAAGAGTCAGATTAATTAGCAATGCCCCATTTCCTGAGATTCGCGGAGCCTCAGCGTCATCCAGTCTCTATTTCTTCGTTCTTCCAGGAGATTTCCTCGGTCTCGTCTACCAGGGCCGGACCCTTCGCGTCGGAACTTTTCAACCTAACTCCTCCTCTGAAGCGGAATCTCTTGCCGGAGCCGCCCTTCCCATGATCCGAAATTCCGCCCTCGATCCCAACAAATCTCTCCATCCTTGGAGCTTCGATCCTGATCGGCGGATCGCCGGCGCTCACTGATTTTCTATTCTGCTGAAGTGAGCACGCGGCGGTGCCGGTGGTGATAGCGGGAGGGTTCCGTGAAAGGAATCGATGTGTGGTCTGCTGGCTACGCATTCTTTTGGCTACTTTTCCGGCTCAGAGCACGCTCTCGCCTTCGTCCCCTACGACCGATGCTCTTCCCTTGAACCCCCCTTTCCCCCACCCTCTTTGCCCTGCTGCGAGGCCCCAGCGTGGCGTTCCTTTCGACCGAGACTGCGTTATTCACTCTGCGATGCTTTTCTATATATATTCGCTGTTCCTTCACCGGCGAGCAGGATGCCAGCGACTCGGCGGCCATTCCAGGAGCTCCGGGAAATTCGGCGTGTTCTTCTCGCTCCTCCCGGCACTTCAAGCAATTTACATATTGGCTGCTCCTGCCTCAACGGATGCCGGGTCCGTCTGCTCGGAAAAGGGTGCATTGATGCTTCAGCGTTCGAGGACAATCTGAACAGTTTTACTGAGTGGATCCACAATGCAACGAAGGTTGTCGACGTCGCGACGGCCTCCTGCGCGAGTTCTGTCTCCTGCGCGAAGGGAAACGATTGCGCTCTTTTTCCTGTTTGTGAGTGCTCGTTCGGATAGGTCGGCCGGTCGCCGGCTCGGTGGGCGGGTGCGTGCCTGCGTACGTTTGTGCTCTGTCGGGGCTGTTGTACTGCAGAAAGCTTGATAAGATCCACGCGACAGACCTAGTCGCCTTTTATAACGCAGTGAGACAATTTGGCCGAGGAACAAGGGCTGGCCTCTCGACGAGAACTGCTCGGCACCGAGTAGGTCTGACCGTGCCGTCCCTCAGAACAGAGGCGAATTCGACGCCATTCCCCCCGACGGGCAGGGATCGATATGCCTCCTCCTGAGGAGCTTCGAGCGGTACTCATCCTCATCAGTGATTGAACCACTTCAGCAGGTAACTCTCAGTCCCGATAAAATTCTGAGGCGATCAGTGCACTGAAACGTATTTCCCGCGGAATTCTACGTCTCGCAGCGCACCGTCGGAATCTCAAGCTGGACGTGTCTGGGAATCGATCCCCCGCCTGGTGAGGCGATGAATCCCGAGTCACGAAAAGCGTGGAGGAGCGCGCCTCGGATCGTTCACGCACTCGTCGATTCTCTTCAATCCCCCCACCCCACAAATTTCGTCTGGCAGAAATGGCATCCGAACTGGATGCCGCGCCGCCGCGAGACGACTCGTCTAATATTGATACGCATTCTCTTGCTACTATTGAATTCGCTATCTGGTTGCGCGCCAGCGTTAGGAAGCATAGCCATCCGTCACTGTCAGGACTCACTCGTTGGCAGGACGCACAAAGGAAGCGGCCTTACCCTGCTCGTTTCAGTCCACGCTCGCCTGACTGACTGGCTGGCTGCCTGTCTGCCGACTCAACTCATTCTTGCTCGTAGGACTGGTTCGTCGTCTGTCTGTAGTCAAACTCGCAGACGCAAGAGCGAGCGAGCGAGAAAGAAAAGCAACAGGGGAAGGGGGGAGCTATGCGCGAAGATGCTCCGGAAAAGCCGACGAGTGCAGGCAAACTGCAACTTTCCACCCGAATCCGAACCTGTTTGAAGCATCACGGTCCTTGAAGCCAACTATGAGGAGTTTGCGAGTGAGGACCCACTTCGTGGTGGGGCCGACCAGCTTGACTGCTCGAGCGGATGGGCAGGCCCGGAGATTTCGTGTTCCCTTCATGCGACGACAGGTTTCCTCCTATCCGGACCCCGGTCTGAGTGAGCCGCGTTCCCCAATATCATCGGATCACGAAGACATCAGGAACGACGGATCTGCGAATGGCATCACCATTCGCCTCGGAAGGTCGGAAGCGAACAGACAGCTCTACGTTAGCCACTCCGTCTGCTCCTGAACATCGGACTAGATGAGGGTATCCCGAAGCAGAGGTTCGCTGCGAGTCCCGGATGAGGACTACGTGGGAACGAATGCGGTGATGTGAGGGGAAAAGGATACAAGTGTCTCCGAGACGTCTAGCAGCAGCGAATCCCCGCAACAGCGGCCGTGGCAGCAACAAAACAGCATTCAACTGCTCCACAAAGTGGTTTCGTTCGTCTCGTGTTTACCCGGGAAAGAACACTGCTGGAGGCGAAAGTGTCTGCTGACACTCACAGGCACACAGCAAAGGCAAAGCCAATTATTCCAACAAGCGCGACCGTCCGTCCCACCGACAGACCGTCCGCGTGTCTGCCTGTGCACGTTTGCGCCCGACAGATTTGTTCGCTCCCCGCCGCCCGGCTACCATGTGCTCGTGTAGAGAATCTTACATTCGAGACTTCACCGATTGGATCGGCTCAAGGACGATAATGTTGTTCCGGGAGAATGTGGCTCTTCGGATTTGTTCGGCGGACCGAATCATTGAGCTCACACCCAATTGTTACCTAGGACTTCCGTAGTCGCGCGAAAACATACGGGGAACACCGCTCGAACCGGAGTCTGCAATGAAGAGGATATAGTTTACCTTTATTGAGTCGTAGCAGGCGATCACTCTGCCGTTCTGTACTTCGACGTTCGATGCTGGATGGGCGAATTTGCACTCTGTATCCGGTCGTGTGCACTTATTCCGTTGAAACTCGCGGCACACCTGGAAACGGAGGGGGAGTTCATTCGCGCTCTTTGGAGACCTCGTCCGACAATGACCTCAAATGTAAAAACGTTATTAATTATAATGAGTCGATTTCTCCGGCTCGGCGAAAATGGACAATCGTCGAGAATCGGGCTCTTCGCCGAATCCAAATGTCGCAGGCCCTCCGATTCGAGGGAAGAATCTTCCTCGGCTTATACGTGAGTAGGTACTACGCTATAAGGTTCCCATATGTTGGCTCGTTCCGGAAGCCAGGGAGCCCGCGCATACTGAGCTATGGAACGTTTGCTTACGCATCGATACCATGTCCGTCGAGACTGACATTGTTGGCGTTGTCGGTGCCATCACAGTCGAGCTTGACGTTCCGCTGTCGTCGTTGCTCAGATGCGGCCGAGTTTTCAGAATCTGTCAGGAGAGCGCGCGGGAAAAGGGAATCAACATTCCATTCCAAGAATCCCAAACGTTTCGGACGGCAAGTTCGGAACGTACCGCCCGCAAGCGCGGCTGCTGCGACGACAGTTGCGGGGACCGAAGACGAAAGTCGAAATTGCGAAATCGAGTGTCGAAGGAAGAGAGCGCAAAGAGCCACGCTAATCTCTAAATTGAACTGCCGATAAACTCCACCCATTCTGATCCCCCCCGGCGAGTCTGCTCGCTGCGCGCCCGAAGGCGATTTCCACACCGACCCACTATGGGACCTTAAGACTCTACCGAGTCGGAATGGGGGAGTGGGCACGGAGTTGGTGTAGGTACGATTAGTTGCTCGGGTTCACGCCCTGGGGTGCCTGATGAAGTCTTTCTATCATATGGACATGCTTGAGTCGGGAAGTCGCCGTGGACGAGTGAGCAACAACCGGCTGCTCCAATGAATCAGCTATCGAATGGGTTTGAGATTCGACTAATTGGCGTTCCCCCGAGACTTCCGACCCATTGGGTTCTCTTGTCCAACCTCCGCGTCGCGCGAATGGACCATGAATTTGCGTATGTAAGAATTCCCTTAGGTTTGGGGGAAAAAAGGCCCAGCAGCTCCCCCTCGGTCAGATATGGACTACGATTGCTCTTACCCTCGAATGGGCGAGGGTCCGCCGAGTTTTCTTCAGTGAAAGTTATATTTCGATGATGAAATAATTTTTAGAATGATGGGTGCGAGATCATGTGAAATGGAACATACCTCCAACTGCAACCATCTGGAGTCCTTGACGTTCGCGAGAGAAGTCATCGTAGCCATGAGGGCAGCTGAATTGGCTAAGTTAGTCTGGTTATTTGTCGATGGAGGGGGACTCGTTGTTGCCGTGGTGATTCCCTGTGCGGATGTGCTGCTAGCAGCCGATAACTGCGGCGAGTAAAACCAATAAGCTGCTGGTGGTACTTGAGTGGCCGCTGCTGTGCTTACAGCTGCCCCAAGACCCGCGTGCACCCCCGGTACGCTTACGCCGACACTCACGGCGATTCCGGGAGAGAACGCTGTCTGAGGCGATGAGGACTCGGTCGATGAGCACTCAGGCGGCGACGGAGACACCGTGAAGCCGGCCGACGGCTGAAAGAAATAGTTCTCATGAGAATTCATCGCGCTTTCAGCTCTCCTAGAGTTCTGGAAAGTTCAGTCATAAGAGTAGACTGAGTTTTAAACGAATCGAATTCTTTCACGGAATAATATCGAAGCTCCACAGCGTAAGACGGACGGAGGAACGCGAGTCGAAGAACCGGCGAGGATATAAGCAACTCCTTGTCCCGGTCCCCACCACCGGGGAAGAAGCAACGAGATGGCTTGTAATTAGCCTCTATGACGGCAAGTATCATTAAGGCTTATCGGTAACTACTTGACAAAAACTCGCCTCGCTCTACCGTTGCCAAGCGCGGTAGGGTTTGTCGCGCTATAGCAGTTTTTCATTTGAACAGAGAGCCCAGCGCTGTTGTCATCAAGTTGGAGTTTTTCTAATTTCATTCCCGCCGCACTTCTCTAATTCACTCTAACATTCGTTAGAAGAGACTTGTAAATGGGCTTCGGGCTCCTGTAGCCGGAAGCCGAGCCGATGTTCCCCACTAGAATAACCGAATGCTCAGTTGGTTAGTTTGTTGTCGCTAGAGAACAACGTGGGCTGTGGGGTTTTTAGCTTCTACAGACGTAATTAGTAACCAGTGTAAAGCCGAATAGAACACTTCCAGATCTGATGGCGTCTTGAACGAAGTTGGAATTGAATGACGCGAGAAACCCCAAGCATGGACGACCCGGAGGACCGAGTAGCGAAAAGCAAGAAAGCAACCATCGGATGACAGATGTTGAGAAACGAGTATGTCGCCAACTTGAGAGATGCGACTTCCAACGTGGAGTAGAGCGGGAAAAAAACCCAGCAGACTTCGCGTCTAGTTTACGAGTGATGAACGAGGTCAGAGAACCTTCTCACCCGTCGCTGTATCTATTCCCGCTCTCTAGTCGGAGGTGTGTTCGACTATTCTGTGAACCTATGCAGCGATGGCGAACGGACTGCCAGGGTAGGTTTGAGTCTAGAGCTCGAATCGTCGTCGTTCGAAAACGATGTTTCGAAAGAAGAGAATTTCAAGCTAAAGGCTAAATGACAGCTTCAGGCCGGAAAGAAGTTTGTGATGATGATGTGATTAACGCCCTACTGTCGACAGAGCCACGGCCGCGACCGACGGGTAAATAAAAACGCGTCAACACTCCGCCCGCTTTTGCGCTAATCAGTCGATGTCTTGCCTACGTCGCCACCTCTGCCGAGTATGAGTAGGAACTCCATGGGCGTCCGTGCGTCGGCCTGGCCGTCGAGTCGCTTGGAGTCCCGAGGCCGACCCAGGGCATGCGGCTTGTTGCGTCGGACAATGGTTTCAAAAACGTCATTCTGATCAGCTCCAGGAAGCTAGAAGATCCTGCAGCGTCCCTTACGGCAAATCGAGGACCAGTGCGTGAGCGGCAAAGGAGTCACGCAAGTCACGGTTTCTGCGTAAAAAACGCTTGACCCCCTTCAGCGCGACCGAGCTTAATGAAAACTAGAGCAGTTGTTCGCAACGAGCATTAAGCGAAGGGAAGTCGAGACAAGAACTTCACCAGAGACCGATGCTTCTTTCTTAGGCTGATTTCCCAAGTAGCCACGGCAGCCGCGGCGCGTCGTTGGCTAAGGAGCTCTTTGTCGGAATCCGAGAGTAGCGGTATACCCCACGGGCATTGAAGGGCCGGTCTGGGATAGCAGAAGGACGAAGGCGCTATTGGTAAAATTGGGTCGGGCCGCTCCGGAGTCGACGTGGCCAAGAGTCGGAAGAGGTTATGCCTGGAGAGAGTGCTGGCTTCGGGCTGAGCCAAATGTGGAAGAATGGACAGAGGAAGGCTACTTCGAGAAAGAGGCGGAATCGGAGCCGACCAAGGCTGGCCAGGACACGCTCGTCACACAGGGCAGAGCGTCTCAACTGCGAGGCATACCGGATGCGCAGCCCACGGGAATAGGCGGAGGACGGCTCAACCCGTTCGGAGGGCCAGAGAACAGTTGGTGCTCAGGTGGTCAGAGAACGCTTTATCGTTGTTCTCGTGGTTGTTGCTGATGCCGCGGCTGCTGCTCCTCTAGTCTCGTAATCCTTTAATTCCGGGACGCCGGAATTAGCGGACTCGCCTTTGCGGGCTTCCACCGGCAGATTCTTTCTATCAACAAGCCGACGGCCGGAGACGGCGGCCTCGAGAAGCGGCGGACGGGCGGGAGGTTTATTCATTGTTCCGTCTCTTACGCACCAATAGATCAAACTGGAAACATTGTCCGCATTCGAGTCGAGGATGCGGCGACGACGGTGGAACAAGCAAGGAAGTCCCGTCGGAGCTCAACTTCCGAGGGCTCCAGCTCTGTCTGGCCTGCGCCTGTTTAGGACGAGTTCGGCTCCAGGCGAGGCTCTTCGTCTTCTTTCCTTCCTGAGTCAACGTCCCCCGCATCGCCCTTCCGTTTCCCCACTCGCGTCCACGACGTCTCCCGCTTGACTCCGGAGCTCGGTAGAACCCTATAGCCGGCTTCGCCCTGTCGGAGTGGTTATCGTCCTCCGTCGCCTTGCGCTCTTTTCGCCCACGCACAGCACCGGATCGCGGCTTAAAACGCTTCCTTCCACCCTCATGCTTTCTGCCCAGTCTCCTCCGTCACTCCACTCCGGTCAGATTCGGTGAAGCATCCGTTCGAGTCAAGTGATTATTAATGCTTGTGCTGAAGAAACAACATGCCGATTGGATGAATGAATACAGAGCTCAAATTCCATTCATTCTTGGGGAGTAGATTGATGAATGAATGAACAGATGAATGAGCGGAGAGTGAATGCGCAACTTTCTCGAAAGTCGAGCTTTTTATGTGAGATGCGAGCTCGTGTCGTCGTCGTGGAGAAACCATTTGCTGCAGGAACCAACTTCCTACTTTGGCCGATTCCCTCTGGGGTACGGTTCTTCTCTTTTTTCCTCGGCGCGCGCGGGCAAGCGAACGAGCGGGAGGCGGGCCGGCCGGCCGACCGACCGGCTCGCAGACCAGGGAGGCAATAATTGCCCATCGTCGAGTGAGCGCAGTAAAGCGGCCGCAGAAACATTGATACGAAGTTCGATGCAAACTCTGCGGCCGCGGCGCAAGCTTTAATGGCGTTTTCTACCTGACTGGCCGATCACAACCGCGTGCCCGGATTGGGGCCGCTGTCGCTCCGAGAGGCTGCGGGGAATTCGGCTTTAGAGCCTGACGCTGCATTTTGCCGGCAGATTTTCTCTGCGCGGAAGCGTAGGCCACTGCCGGGTACGGAAAGCGGAGGCAACGCCGCAGGCGATGCCGACGGCGAGCATTCGCTCGAGCGAGCCCAGGGCAAGTTCCGTCTCAGTTCTTTCTCTATTTATCTGAATATTATCTGCTTTCATCTGGCTCGTCGCTCTCGATCTCTTTGTTCCTCTTTTCAGTTAGCGGCACTGAATGAGTCGAGGGAATCTTCGCTGAGATTGGCTCTGTAATCAGAGTGCTCGACTGGTCCTACGGATGGATGTCGAGCGAGTCGACGAGCGGCTGAAGGCTCAGACCGACGGACGGACGGACAGATACACAGACGGACACTAGCTAAAAAGGCTCTCGTTGAAATAAGAATAGGCGAGGAGCCGTCCTCGCTCGTGGCGCTGATGAGGGAGGATAACAGCGAGGGCGCCCACCGACCGACGACTGTCGAGGGGAACGATAAAGCAAGCGAGAAACTCCATCGGCTGAGGGCTGTATAAACACCGTAGCCCTTAAGAGGTTCAAAGGTCTCCGCTCCGAGTCGAGTGAGAACGAGCGACGAACGAACAAACCAACGACCCTATCTGGGAACGCCGAACAGACGGAGGAAGAGCGAACGGGACATGTAATCTAAGGAAGTTACCCGAGAGCTCCACGGATTATTTTCGGGATATCAATTACAGAGCATATTCAAGAAGGAGCCGGCCGGCGCCCTGGGCATGAGTCGCTAGGGAGCTCGAGCACTCGCTCGGGACCCACTCGACGGGTTCTTCTCCTACTCGGTAGCTACGGAAAAAACGGAGACCTATGGGAAATGGTTCCAGCGTTTGCTTCGTTCTCAAGCGAGCTCTGCCAATCCACTCGAATGGGCGACTTGGGCTCCGAAGTCAGTTCTTTTGCCCGCGCTGTCACTGCTCGCCGCTTGCGATGCCACCGTTGCTGGCGACGGAAGCGCTCTTCGCTCCGACCGTCGTCGCTGGTGCCGCCACCGACTGTCACGGTGAGGCCGATTTCTCTTGGTGATGCGTCTGAGTGAGGTAATAAGTACAAGAGCGTTTCGGAAGCCGATGGTTGAGTCACTCACTGACTGACTTCCTTCCGAAGTACTTCGTCGTGCTCGAGTGAGTGCCGCAACGACAGCGACAACTCGTTCGTGTTCATTCAGAAAAAGACCCCTTTTACTTTCTCGGCGGCCTCACTTTTTAGACGGGTCGCATTTTTTTTCCGCGTGGTTGAGTCGTCGCCTTCACCGATACAATTCCTCTTCACTCCATGAACCAATAAGCCGTAATCGTGATTACGACGACGGTGGCGGCGGCGGCAGCGCCAACAATGAGAAACCGCTCCAGGCACCGCGTACCTGGGGCCGGCAAGGAGACACAATTCCGTCGTCGTCGTCATTCATGCCGGTTCGTACCCTTGCTCTGGGAATCGGAGAGGAACGGCGAGGATAAATGGGTTCCGATGTCATGTGAACCGTAATCCGGCTGATTGAGCCAAT